GGTCCTCTTCCTCTAATCCTTAACTCTCACATTCCAATTAATCCATCATTCATCTCTGTCTTGCTCAGGGCATGATATGTTTTCTAATTTGTAAGATGCATCTGAAAATTTTGGCAAATATTGATTTGAATCAAAATGTCACACACCTGACTGACAAATATAAGTTTAGTGTCTACTTTAGCAACAAACAGACTATTCGTGGGCTGGGGGTGTGGTTCAAGCGGTAGCGCGCTCACCTGGCATGTGTGAGGCCCAGGTTCGATCCTCAGCATCACATACCAACAAAGATGTTGTGTCCACCAAAAAATAAATAAATATATATATATATATATATATATATATATATTTTAAAAAACAAACAAACAGACTATTCAAATTTAATTAGGCACACTATACATACACATGTATTTATGTGCATAAACATATATGTACATAGAAATACCAATTTGAGTACTGTGAAACCCAATGACATTTCTGAGAGTCCCCATCACATGTAAAGGAAAAGTGTGACCCCCTATGCATCAGTTCTGTCTCTGCAGTGTCTCTGCACTTGTGGGTAAGCTATGCCCTGTTGTCGGGCCTCATTTTAGCAATTTCAGGAGCTCAGGCACAGCCTGGCTGTGGCTTGCATGCTTAGACCCAGTCTTTCTCTAAGGACAAAACGGACACAGCAATGATAGGAAAATCCTGAATTCACAGCCTGAATTGTTCAGATGGGATGTCCATGGCACCCCATCCCACCTTGGCCTTCCTTCATCTGCCTGCAGGGTGCCTCTGTTTCACATCAAATCCCCTCTTTTCATTAACTGATTTTAATTAGAGTTACACTGCATTTTTTCATTATGAACCAAGCACTATCCCAGGGCCTTCCCCATGCTGTGCTCAACCCCCGTCAGCAGCTCTGTGTGGGAGTTATCATTAGCCCCGCTCTAGCAAAAGAAGTTAGGGCTCAGAGGGTGAAGGGCTTTCTCTGCTCAGACAGCCCTCGGGTGGTCATGAGTCCAGGCCCCGTCGACCGCAGGACCTGCTTCCCCAAGAATCAGATCTTTTCATCTAACCATAACCATTTCCCAATTTCAGCTGAATTTAAAGTAGAACAACAGACAGATATTGTGATGGCTTTCCTTGTGTGTTTTGGAATAGTTCAGGGGTGTCCTGAGGTTGGTAGGTTAGTCCTTAGAAAATCACCTGCTATTTATACTTGCCTCTTCTGGTAGTAATAGAGACCCTGTGGGTCTTAGATTCATCTGGAATCCCAGGGCCAAAGCCTGCAGTGGTTCCCCATCCATAGAAGCTGCTCCCTTTGTACCCTGCACCTGGGCCCATGAGCATGAACTGTTAGAGTTGTCATCTGTTCATGTACCTGTCACTTCTGTGATGCTGGGATCTTTCCAGAATGCCCAAGGGCCTGGTTGTTCCTACCCTGTCATAGTTGACTCACTGACATGTACAGCTAACTCAGGAACAAGCCATCAGTTTTCCAGAGAAATCTTCAGCAAGTCACCATTTAAAACAGTGTAACAAAGCCAAGTGCAGTCGCAGGATCTAATCGTCAACAGAGAGCTGGTGAAATTCAATAAGACATTGTTTCCCATCTAAACAATCTGTTCATAAAGCGCCTACAGAATTGAAATATGTTTCCGTAGAATGTGGCTGTGAGAGGACTGACATTCGAGAAGACAAAAGCATGATTCTGTCCCTGATTGATAAGACAGCCACGTGGCGCGCAGTGCCGGGTTCTGCCGTCACAGTGCCACATTCACCTGACTCTGCCTGTGGAATGGAACTGATCTCCCCAGTGTGGCCGGGCACCACTCCCGGTCGGACCCCAGCTCTGCTTCTCCTCTCAGGATGGTCCTGTCGGTGGCCGATCTGGGTGTCTCATCAGTCCATGAACGGCTTTCCTCTGGTACTGGTCACTTTCCAGTGGTACTGGTCACTCTGTCACCTCTGCCTGGAGCGCCCATTCCTGACCTTGTCTGTGGGACCAAATTCTCATCCTTCCCAGTGAGGACCCCCTTCCTCTACCAAGACGCCTGGCCCTCATCTCGGGCCTCCTGAATGGACCCGCTGCCTCGTCTGATGCCATCACACTCGGTATTCCTTGGACCACTTCCACCTCCTGAGATGACCCAGTGCCCCGCCAGGGCAGAAGAGGCAGCCTCCCGTGCCTAGGGCTTTGTCCCCAGGATGGGCACAGGAGAACACTGTGACCAAAACAACACCCCTTTGCATCCTAGCAAAGCCTCTGACAGTGACGTGACCCTGGGCTTTCTGAGTGCCCGGCTTCCTATCATGTTTCTTACTTAATTAATTTCACCCTGACCACAAGCCTCTGAGACAAAGACCACCTGCATCCTCCTGGATAAAGCAAGTTGGTGAGGCACCTTCCAAATGAGATGGATGGGAACCCGGGAGCGCGAGCCTGTGGCCCTCACTGCTCCTGAAGTCTCCTCTCCAGAGCCAGCGGCTCCTTTCTATGTCCATTTGAAGCCAAGTGGGGAAAAACCCAAATTAAAGAATCTGCTCTGACAAGACAGTTCAACCAGAGGAGTCTTGAAGACGTTATTAGGTTCTGCTTCAAGGCTCCCTGCTTCTTTTCTAATATATCCTGCTCTGTTTCCAAAACATATTTTTATTTTTTATTTTTCTCTCCAGAAATACACACCTGTCATGGAGAATGTGTCTGGATGCTGATCTGCCAACAGGACTGCCAACGTCCTCCTGACAGGGACACGCACCCCCCAGGAAGGGCCAGGCTCTGCTTCCCTACCTGAAGGTGGGCTGGCCTTGTCCCTGGCCTCCCCAGTGAGCCTGGGGTCTTCTGTGTTTTCTTTCCTGGGTGGCAGAGCCTCCCACCAGGTCAGAAGTCTGGGTTGCCAACCAGAGACAGAAGCTCAGCCAGACCAAGCAAGGGGCAGGCATGATGGAGTCATCCTGAAAGCTCTGTCCCCGCCGAGCCAGCCAACTCAAGACATCAACAAGAAGAAACCACTGTCGCAAGTGCTAGCTTCTGGAGGGTTCTGTAATGCAGCAGTAGCTCGTTGAAAATAATAGAATTGGGAAATTCACGTTGAAGGAGAGATTGCACATGGTGTCTCTCCCTCACCGTGGAACCGTCAGGTGGTAAACGATGGCTGGCCTCTGTTCGCCATAGCCTGTGGCACGCAGCACAGGGACTTGCCGCCTGCATCACGGTGACTCTCCTGCCAAGCCAGACCAAGTAAGAGAGGAACTTTCCCCTGAAGCACATTTTGTCTTTCTTTCACTGTTTCTCCGCAGCACTATCTTATGCCCTTCTCTGTCCTGGGCTGCTGCTGGGCTCTGCCGTCCTGGATGCCCTGCTGTCTCAGGTCCTCAGCCAATGAGGGAGCAGAGCTCCTCTTCCCAGAGTCTCAGGGAAGAGGTGCCATCCCTGGTGGCAGCTGGTGGATGGCGCTCCCCTGGTCAGCCGGGCTGTCTTTCTCCTGGCCTCCAGGATCTCACTGGACTTTTACCCTGACGCTGAGATGAGGACCCTCCCTCCCACTGCCGGCACATGGCCGCTCACTGTTCCTGTCCTGGCTCATTGACATTTATGATTTCTAAAAAATGTGCTTTTCATTTATAAGCTGTAAATTAAAAACTTGATGGAGGATGGTTTTTGTCCCCCATTTCAGGTGAGGAAACAAAGCTCAAAGTTCTGATAACTCACCTGGGGTCACAGCCTAATTCACCCAGTGCAAGGTTCAAATCCCTGACTCTCTCTGTGACACCACGGGCCTCCCTCTGTTGGAAGTCCATGGAGCGAACGCAGGCTGAGAGCAAAGGAGGGAATCGTCAACTCCTGAATCAGCCTGAGTCTACACTGGGCAGAGAAGAGTGAGCGGCCACTGTTTTTAGTCTCAGACGCCTGGTTTATTCCAGGGAAGAGAAGGGGAGAGAAGAGAAGCGAGGTCTTGGAAACACCATGACTGGGCTATTACTTAACACACTGGGAGGGTCCGACGCTGGTGGTCAGCTGTGCATTTCTCTTTGAAGATCATGGACTTGAGTTGGCCACTGGCCACACCTGGGCCCTCCCTGATGTGTCTCTGCTGTCTGGAGGAACCACGGCCCCCACCTCTGCAAGGTGAGCCTCAGCAGAACAGCACATCTGCACACGGAACTTGCTGGAACTCAGTAGCCCAGGCTTTCACTCACCATATCACGTCAGTTCCTAGAGAACTCTCTAAGGAAGAGCTCTGACCTCACACGTAGCTCTGCTGGATTTGATTCCTATGATATTCTTGGCTACTCTTTTAAAATTAACCAGCTTTTGTGCAGCTCTGCCTTTTCATCTCCTCACTTTCCCTTCTCCACCCCTAAGCCTTCCTCAGGTGAACAAAAAGCGTGAGTCTACACAGTGTTCCCAAGTTCCCTAACACGGCCTCCTCGGGTCTCCACTAACTCATCTTTGCCTGTCTTTATTTCTTGTGCAATGACTTCCGTATTTCTGACTCGACTCTCTTGCAGAGTGTCTGCTCAGAGCCTTGGTCACCGCTGAATCTTCAAGCCCCCTTTCAATGGGGCCTGAGCTGTCCTTGGCAGCCTCCCCTGCTGGCTGCAGGGCTTTGGGACCCCTGATGGGACATGAAAAGTGCCACCCTGACTATGCACTTACCCAGTGCTGTGGACTTCCAGGCGCTCTTTACCAACAGGCTTCTCCTTACATGCATGCAGATGCCATCTCCCACCCATTTTGACTCTGACTTGACCTTAACCAACCCTCCACAGCCAGTTTACCCTCAGGTACCAGCCATCCCTGGAAGAGTGTGTTTTCCTTCCATCGGGTCCCCCTTGCAACAAGGTATACACAAAGCCACTTTCAACCACAAGCTTCACTTCCAGCAGGCCTCCATCCAGTGGCACCTGACGGTGACTTCCTGGATGCCTCCATGCCCTGCGCCCACCGTGCCCTGGAGCACTGGGGCAGAGGAAGGGTTAGCACCCAGGCAAGCCCTGCGCCTCCCTCGGCTCACCTGCCTGTCCCACGATGGAAGCACTCAGTCTGTGAGGGATCCTGGAGGACACCTTCAAGGTCATTCGGATCTGGTAATACCTAAGAAGAGAGCAAATGAGAGATGGTTGAAGGCTGGACTTCTCAGGGTGACCTCTAAACAGAAGGTCACTGGAAACCATGGAGCTTGCTGGGCAGCATGCACCATTATCCCACAGCAAAGAGAAAGGCATTGCGTCTGCAGAGCTGAAAGGCAAAGAGGTGGGTCACAGTCAGAGGCAGAAAGTCGAATTCTTTTGAAATCATACAAGACTGAACAAAGTTGGAAGTGAAGGAAATAGAAAAAGAATAGGCGAGCCACGTGACACAGTTACATTAAGAGGTGTGGTTTCTCTTTAGTCAGGAAAATTCATCACTACAAGAAAAAAGTCAGTATAAAGGTGGTGAAAAACTCACATATAAGCTGAGCTTTCTTGTGTTGTAACACTCACACACACACACACACACACACACACACACACACACACGACTCACAATGGCTGTCATCTCTGGAGATACTGACAAACATGTGCCCCAGTGTATTTATCTTTGCTTGTTTTCAACACATTACTCCCATTTCCAAATCCTGTCATCTGGGGACACTGCAGTCTCTCATGCTCTACGTAAACTCTCTCATGTGCCCTCTTTTTGTGACAAGTGCCGATGCATCTTTTTGAAGTTCTGTGCTTTGCAATTAATGACCCTTTTGCTTATACGCACTTGGGAACATTTCTGACGTCATAATTGTGCTCCCCGACTGCTGATTCAAGCCCATTATGAAACGGACTGTGAATAAAACAAAGTGAACTCCAAGGAAAATGGACCATGAGCCATCAGCATCGTCCCATGGCTCACAGGGCTCTTAGCAGGGAGAGTCCCCTGCCAGTGACTCAAGGGCAGCGCACACACAGGATGCTTCTGTGGGTGGGCTCATGTCTGTTTTGATGTGTATGTGACAAACGAAGGGGATATTGAGTAGAAAGCACAGCCCTGGATTTGTGACCGTAGTTGGGTGTCACTTGTGAGCTGTGTGACTCTACTGTATAACTTTTCTAAGCTTGTTCCTTTATCTTTAAAATAGGATAAAGACGATACCTATCTGCCATGACTTTTGCTTCAAGAAAGATGGAGTGGACCTACTTTTCTCTGTTCATGCCACTAAGCACATGTACATACTCTAGATAACAACAGAACAAGCAACAGAAGATTCTTAGGGAACAGAGACAAACCAGGGACCTCAAGAAACAAGGAAAACTAGGGAAGTTCTCTGCATTTTCTTGCCTCCTAACCCCATACTGGAGACTGGAGAAGCCAGCAAGTCAGAGAGGCTAGGATCCACAGACAAAGCCCCACACAACCAGCCTTGCCCTGAACCCAAAGGACAGCAGGGTAGGCAGCCTGGAGGAAAGACACTCTCCAACAATAGCTGTTGTCCTCAGCTGAGCAACACAGGAGGAGGCACCCCACCTCCACCCACACCCCAGGCCAGGCTGCAAGGAAGCATCATCTTCACCTCCAGGCGTCCTAGAGGAGATCTGGAGGAGGGAGCCAGACAGGAGGGGAACCCAGGGAACCCACTGAGCACACGTTAAGGGAGACCGTAAAAGGAGCCCAGCCTCCACCTGCCAGCTAGTAGTGACAAGGGCATAAATATGCCTGTGACTCTTTACAAACAAGGAAAATAAATTTCCCTGAAGCAATTGGACACTGGTAGGTAAAACAGCACTAACAAACCAACCTCAGATTTAATGTCACACCTTACGTAAGAACTGATCAAAAAGGATCTCAGGCTTAAATGAGAAACAGAAAATTGTAGCATTTTCAGACAAAGAGAAAAAGCTTCTAAATATATTGTAAATACGGAGTTAAGACGAAATCTTAGACTTACCACCAAACCATGATCTACAAAAGAAAATATTGATAAATTTGATTTCACTAAAACTTCGCCCTTTTTATTTTTCTGTGACTGATGCTGTTAAGAGGATTATAATACAAGCTGCAGTGTGGAAAAAATATTTGCAAATAGTATGCAGCTGATATTCAGTATTTGTGTATTCCTTATTTGTGGATTTGTCTATTTGTTGAAATCTGTTAACCCAAATGCAATGTGAGTTGCACCCTCATGGTCATTCAAAGGCTTGAGCCTTGTGGCAAAAAATCCAGTCATCTGATCTGCACGTCCCGACTTAGCCTGAACAACGTGCAAACAAGGGTCCTCTTTGCAGTCTGTTTCATGGCCCACTTTGTGTGTGTGTGTGTTTTTGTGGATTTTACTGACAATTCTGCTATTTAAAATAGCCCCATGCATTCAACTGAGTGTTAATTAGTGTTCCCAAGGGAAAGGCAGAGAAAATACTGTGTATTAGATAAACTTTATTGAGATATGAGGTAGGGTACTATCGGCAGAGATCAAGGTTAACAAATCAGCAATACATGTTAAGCAAAATGTCTTTGAGAGAAACACACATGAAGCACAGCTACATGTTGGTCAGTTGATGAAAACGGGACCAGAGGCTCAGGGGAACCTGCCCGCATGTGTACCCTGGGAGCAATAGCTCAGTGTTTGCTCATTCATGGAGGCATTTTAGAACATTACGCCCTTGAATATGAGACTTGACTTCCTGACAAAGGATCATTACCTAGAAAAAACTCATAACTCACAAATCTTCATGATAACAAACAAAGTAAAAGTAGGCAAATACAAGAAAAAACTTTCCCAAAGGAGGACCCACAGGGGCACATAAGCTCATGAAAAGATGTTGGATACTCTCTCCACACCTAGCAAGGTATTGAGCACACTCCCATCAAAATTCCAATTACAGTTTTTTTTTTCATAGAAATAGAGAATCATAAACACAAATGAAGTCACAAATATTTTTAAGAGTAAAAAAATAGTAATAGAAAGATTGGCAAAGCCTCAGGCATCAAATATCCTTATTTCCAATCACATTACAAAGTTACAGTGACCAAGACAACATGGTGCTGGTATAGAAGTAGACATATTCCCCCGGAAGAGAAGAAAGCCAAGCAGTAAGCCCCAGAGTACACAGACTACCAGTGTGGGACCAGGACCTCAGGAGTGCACAATGGTGAAAGAAGAGTCACCAAAGAATGTTGTGGGGAATGGCTGGCCACAGTCAAGGGGACGGAAAACCACTTTCCTCTCATGCCAGGCACAAGAAGAAACGTGAAAGGTATGAACACCTAAAGGTGAGTCCCCAACCATAAGACTCCAAGAAGAAAAAACATGGAGGAAAATCTCCTTGATATTGTCTTTGTCATAATGTTTTGGATGTGGCACTGGAAGCACAGCCACAAAACCAAAACGGAACAAGCAGATTACATCAATCCACACAGCAAATGCCCAATGGGACGAGGGGCAGCCTACAGATGGGAGGAAGCATTTGCCAACCATGTAGCTGAGAAAGAGGTGGGATCCAAAATTCACAAGGAACTTACAGAACTCAATAGCAAGAAAAGCAAAGAACCCGATTAAAAAACCTGACCAGACTTTTTTTCAAAACACCACCATGTGCCTGAAAAGGTGCTCAACACCATTGATCCTCAGGGAAAAGCACATCAGAAGCATGACGAGACATCATCTGCCACCTGTTAGGATGACTATCAACAAGAGACAGCCAGCGTTGGTGAGGACGGCAGGGAAGAGGGCCTTGTGTCTGTTGGTGGGATGGAACCTGCTAAGCCATTAGGTACAGTGACAGAGAGAACCCTCCAAGAGGTGGGAGCACAGCTGTGCCTGTGACCCCTCTGCTGGGTGAACTGAAGGGGGCTACGCAAGCTCCTCCTTGAGATCTCACAGTGAGATCTACATCTCTCCAGGTCGTCATTCTTCAAAAAGGAGATACCGCCGTTTGCAACAACACAGATGAAGCTGAAGGACAGGATGTAAATGAAATAAGCCAGACTCAGAAATAAAAAAATACTACATCATCCGACAGATGGGGAACGTCTAAAGAAAGCGTCAAAGGCATGGAAATAGTCCAATGCGAGTTACCTGTGGTGAGGAGGGAGGGAAGAAACGCAGATCAAAGGATATAAATTTCCAAGCGCATAGGATGAATAAGCCTAAGATCTAGCGGGCAGCAGGAGGGCTGGAGGCGAGGAAATTGTATTGTGTGGTGAAGATTTGCTAAGAGAGTAGCTTTTAGGTGTGCTCACCACAAGATATAAAAATTAAAAATGGGTAACGAAGGAAGCCAGCGGATCTGTGACTTGCTTGCCTGTAGGGATCCCTGCACTGCAGTGGGGTTCTCGAGGCATGTGCACCCCGGACATAGGCCATTAAAAATTTTTTTTTTTTAAATGTTTGACCTCATTATACAAAGTGCAAATCAAAACCACAAGGAAGTACGACTACACGTCCATCAGAATGTACGATGAAAAACGGACAACATGGAAGGCAGGCAACTGCACAGAAAAATTGGATCACTCACGCGTGTGTGTGTGTGTGTGTGTGTGTGTGTGTGTGTGTGTGTGTGTGTGTAATGGTAGATGGCTCAGCCACTTGGGACAATACCCGTCACACTGTGTTACCACTTTGTCAGACGCTGCCATAGAGGAGAGTGGGGAAGAGTACATAGGTTGTCTTTCTATGCTTTGCTAAAACTGCCTGTGAATCTGTATGCATCTCAAAATCCAAATTTTAATTGAAAAAAATAAAAATGAAAGCACCGGTAGAGTTCAACAGCACAATCAGTGACTGAGCAAACTCAGATGTCCACAGGAGCCAGGAATATAAGTGAAAGAAAATCTAAAAAGATACTCTGGATCCCACTTAATCTAGCTTTTCTTTTTCACTGTTGATGGAAATGTGGGTACCACTTCCATGGTACTGAAAGGGTAAAGTTTCTAAGCTGCAAGGCCTGGGTTAAAAAGTGAAGGACCAGGTAAGTTCCTCTGCTACACCCAGAGCCTGAAATTCCTGAGGCAGTGAAGACAACGCCCTACTGGCCATTTAGCCTAGGGCCCTGAACCAATCAGTTTGAATGTGTACCCTGCTTAGGAGTGACCCATCACCCCCGCCCGACCTGTTCTCGCCAATG